GCCCAGCCTTTTCTCCTCCCTCACTCTGTGTACCTCAGAGCCAGGTTTGTGTTCTTTTGTGTGTGCACAGGCTACACAGACGCTGGCATGTAGGACACATGCACCCAGCCTCGGCAGCCTGACCTCGGGGGACAGTTTAATGACTTGAATTTCAGGCAGCTGAAAAAGTTTCTACGGGCGGAGGCTGAAATAAACAAGAAAAGCCACTGTGGGGATGTGAATGGAAAAGTACCAGTCCGCCCTCCCTCCACACATTCTTCCGCTCTCCAGTCTTCCCTGCCACCAAGCCAGCTTCAGATAGGTTTGTGCACGGTCAGGTGTACAGAGGCAGGCACAACACGTAAATCAAGTTTTTCCACTCCGAGCCTCAGCTAGTCAGGAGAGCAGCCTGGCAGGCAGGCCAGCAGCTCTGCGTTTACAAACACCCAGGCTCCTTCCTCCCCACGTCGCTCTCACTTTATAGTCCAGTTTCCGCTTTTCCTCATGCTAAGGTTTCATAGGAAGTGAAAACCTTGCTATTCAAAACAGTGATCGAATGCAAAACACCAAAATGATTGCGTGTTCCCATCCCCAGCACTTCTCCATTTTAAAATCCAGATATGCCTGGCCTGTCTAAGTCGGCGAGGAAAACAAGGACAATCAGCATCGTCGTGGAAAAGTTCTGAGTCAGGCTGGAGAGGTTTGCTAAAGGGGATCAGATGATGATGGTGACAAAAATGATGATGATGATGACAAAGAATGAATGAATGAAGAGCGAATGAGCCCGCTCTGAGCAGGAGGAGAAAACAAAACCCAGCTGCATCTTCTTCAGAAGGTGACAGCTGGGACTCAGCCTGGGTCTGTCCCCCTCCTATCCCGAGACCTCCACATTGTTGCTCAGTTTCCTCCTTTGCCCTCCACCTTCCCGCACTCTCCTAACCCTGCACTCTTAAAACGCACGAGTCTTCTCTGGTGTCTAAGGGTTAATATTCAGCAGGGCTCATCCAGGTTGGTCTTTTTGTTTGTTGCTGTTTAGTTTGCTTCTCCAAGATGAGTCCTCATGTAGCCCAGGCTGGCTTCCAACTGGCTATGCAGCCTTGAACAGCTAATTCTTTCCCCTCCACCTTCCCGAGTACTGGGGTTACAGATTTAGCTTGGCATGTTTACAGCAGTTTTAAATGAGGGAAGGGTCTGACATGAATAAAGAGGCAAACTTTAGCAGGTGGTGGTGGTGGTGCACATTTTTAATCCAGCACTTGGGAAACAGAGGTAGCAGGATCTCAGGGAGTTCAAGGCCCACCTGCTCTCTAAGAGCTAGTTCCAGGATAGGTTCTGAAGCTTGACAAACCCTGTCTCAGGAAAAGAGGAAGAGGAAGAAGAAGAAGGAGAAGGAGAAGGAGAAGGAGAAGGAGAAGGAGAAGGAGAAGGAGAAGGAGAAGGAGAAGGAGAAGGAGAAGGAGAAGGAGAAGGAGAAGAAGAAGAAGAAGAAGAAGAAGAAGAAGAAGAAGAAGAAGAAGAAGAAGA